TAGAGCAAGGCAACTTCCTGGTACACCTTCCAAAGCAAACCTGGTAGAAAACATAGCAAGAGCTCCTGGGTGAGTTAACCAGCTACACGGGGCAATTAACTACAGATCTGCTTTGTAAAAACAGGAAAATGGCAAAGCTTGTGAAATAGTTACCACGCAGCCCTTCCTTTGGGAATTCATGAGTTACCAGAGACCAGTCCAGTCCATCCTGTCTTACGATAATAAAATCCTTTGATCTGTAAAGAGAATGCTCATTTTTTTTTTTTCATACTCACTGAGAATATATTTTTATTGATTTGAGAGAGAGGAAGGGAGAGAGAGAAACATCAACGTGAGAGAGAAACACTGATTTGCTGCCTCCTGTACACGCCCCACCCGGGGATCAAACCTGCAACCTAGTTGTGGGCCCTGACTGGGAATCGAACCCAGGGCAGGGCAAGAATGCTTATCTTTTGATTGACTTGCAAACACTACCTAAAACAGTCCCAAATCAAATAACAATGTATTCAAAAGGAGAGCGCTGGCTGGGTGGCTCAGTTGGCAGGAGCATCGCCCTGTGCACCACAAGGTGGTGAGTTCAATTCCCGGTCAGGGCACATGGCCAGGTTTTGGGTTCAACCCCCAGTCAGGGAGTATGCAAGAGGCAATCGATGTTCCTCTCTCTCTAAAATCAATTTTTTAAAAGTATTCTTTAAAAACAGAAGGAGAGAGAGGACAGGCTATTATCTTTGCCCTCTACATGCACAGTGTCCAGAAGTTTTTTTCAATGGTATGATCTGACATGATGCTGTCAGCTTAGATAGGTGGACACTATTCAACCCACCATCACAACAACCCTGGGCACGACTCTTTTAAATCTTTCTGTGTCCCAGGTTCTTATCACTTCAGAAGGACACTCTGCTTACATCAAACACATTCAAATGCGCCTAACAGCCTACACGAAATGGTTTCTGTTTAAATGACTTGTATACCTTTGCTTTTGAAATAACTACTCCTCTTGATTGCACAGTTTTGCTGTTGTTCATATTTTGGATCTGAGAACATTTTTTCAGGTCTCAAACAATTTTTAAAGACTCTCAGTGACCCCACGCACTGCTGGTATCTCCAGAGCCCATTGGATAGATCAGCCCCAATCTATGAAGCTTCCGGGGGCTACAGGGAGGAAACTGTCAAGAACCATGTTCATCCTATTAAGTAATGTCATCTCCATGGGGATTTTGGTATCAAGAGCAGTGTGCTTCTCCTGTTGTTTTGTCTTGTGAGCCTGTGAATCACAGACGTGACAGTGTGACTCTCTTCCCACTGGCTACCAGAAAGCTCAGAAAACAAGCGTGCCATTTGGTAACTTAAACTCGCTCACGGCTCCTCCTCATAGTTCCTATCCTAACTTTCTCTTTGCCTCATGTCTTCTCGTTTATTTTCAATTTATTTGACCTAGCTTCATTAATGATATGTATGCTTCCTTAAATGCTTTTTCGACCAAGACAGGATATAAATAAATCAATACATAAATAGCATTATTTTCCCCTAAAGTGCCTTTCTCGCATATTTTTGACTGTGATGGCCCTTCTTTAAAGTGGGAGTTAACATTCACTGAGCGCTTACCATCAGCTGGCACTACGTGAAGCACTTGCCATGGATAACACCTCCTGAGACGGGTACTTCTGTCCTATTGAGGCAGGACAGTAAGAAGCTAGGAAAATTCCTTGGCAAGTGGAATGGGGAAACTGAGACAGAGTGCTGAAAAACTGGCTGAGCAATCTACAGGTAGGTACAGAAGGTCACCAGGGGTGAAAGTCCCTAGCAACAGGCAAAACAATGCTGGACCTCCCCCCTAGCACGGCCTTTCCTCCTCCAGCATATCACTGGTGGTGCATTTTAGATCCACTGATCTTTCATATCACTGGTTATGTGGTTTAGACCCCTGACCTCTCCTCCCTAGGGATAACATCTAGGCCTCAGTTGTATTTCAACGCCACGCCCAGAAAAGCAACAAAGCCACAAGGGTGACACCAGGACCAGCTACACTGACTAATGAGCCCCTGCCCTGTCACTGATCAATCAGTGGAGACCACAATCCTGAAAGGACACACCTGGAAAAGCTGATGAATATTCTATTGACCCTCCCTTAAGACCTCCCCTAAACACCCAGCCTTTAAAAACCCTCCAACTGAAGGTCCCAGTGCTCTCTCCCTCCCAGGAGCATGCCCATGCCTTTCCCTTCTCTGTCTTCTAGAATCCTCTACTGGTGTGCATCTCCTAAATTCTAAGGGAGCCCACGAGACTTGCAACCAGGGGAACAATGAGCAGCTGCAGCTCATCCCAGGCTAACCCCCTAACCTGTCTCCAAGGCCCCTTTTCTCCGACTCCAGTAAGCTGACAGCAGCCCCGCCTTGGCTCACTTCTTTCCCATAGCATTTTCCCGTAACGTTTGTAGCCAAAATAGGCCCACCTAAGATCTCCCCTGTTGCTTCTCCTATCCCAGGCCCTTCCTTGTTTCACTGCCCCCAGCTTTAGAAAACATACTCATAGTCACCTGGACTCGCATTGTGAAATCTTTCCTGCACAAAGTCAAGAATCCACACACTACCAGCTGGCCTTAGGCAGGCCCATTCTGGGCACGGTCCACTTTCAAGTAACACTATTACTTTTCAGATAAAGAACCCAAGGCTTGGATGTATGAAGTCACTTTCCAGGGCCACTCAGACATCAGAGGCAGGGCTGGAATTCCACCCAAAGGTGGCCCCGTGGCCACTGTCTCACCTCAGCTAGAAACCTTGCTTTCATCCTGAAGGCCTTTTCCTGGAGTCCCTTCTGTGTTTGTTGTTGTTTTTAATAGTCATCCAAGGATATTTTTTCCATTGCNGTTTTTAATCGTCACCCAAGGATATTTTTTCCATTGCTTTTCAGAGAGAGAAGAAGGGAAGGAGAGAAACATCGACGCGAGAGAAACTCATCAATTGGTTGCCTCCCGCATGCACCCTGACCAGGGCTGGGGATCAAGCCTGCCACCAAGGCACATGTCCTTGGCCCGGAATCAAACCCGAGACCCTTCATTCCGCAGGCTGATGCTCTAACCACTGAGCCAAACCAGCCAGTCCCTTCTGTTGATTTGGGCCCCCAAGTGCCTCTTGATTCTCTTCCCCTCTCCTCTATCCTCAGTCCAACCTCTTAGTTCAGGGCCTTTTTTGATCTGCTGGGATTTTTGCAATAGCTCCTTAGAAGATTTCCCTGAATCCAGGCCCGGCCTGAGAATCTGTTCTGCATGCCTCTGAAATACAAAGGCGTCTACAAGTTCCTGGGAGGGTGTCCCAATTGTAGGACAAAGCCCAGTTTCCCTGTCTGCCATGCAGGACCATTACAGTCTGTCCCTGGCCTGACCAGACACATCATAACCAATCCCATGCTCCCAGGAGTAATCACTTCCTAAACAAGGGTGACAGGGGCATTCCTCGGAGGCCTTCATGTAGCTTCCTTCTTCGGCCTGGAAAATCACACACCTTTCACATTTCAGGTCAAAATGCCATCTCCATTGTAAAATATCCTCTGAGTCTCCATGAATTTCCCAGCGGGAGAGACCTCCCCACCACTCATTATTTATGTCCTTGTTTTTTTGTCAGTGACCCTTACTGGACCCTGAGCTCCTGGAGGACAGAGACTGTGTGCTGTCTTACCCACCTTGGGCCCCCCACCCCCATCCCAAGGGCCCAGCACACAGCAGTTACTCAATAACTGTTGAGTGTTCAACCAAGTGGTAGGTCTAAACTGCATTTTTGTGCACTGCCAGAAAATCAGCCTCCCTACAGCACTCCTGCCCCCCAACGCCTAAACCCAAAAAGAAAGGGCTGCCACTAATTTGCAGCTTTGGGCAAATTAGAAAAAAGTGCCTGCTCTCAGATGCCCAGCCTGAACATCACGTGCTCCGCGGGTGCTTCCCCCGAGCCTCTCAGGCCTGTTTTCGAGCCCCCTAACTGTGAAGACACCCACATTGGAGTCTTACCATGTTACAGCTCAGTTTTTTCTGCACTGCTTGGCCTCACTGCTGGGCTGTAAGCAGGGAAAGTGGGGATCATGGCTTAGCCACCGTTGAGTCTCAAATGCCTTAGGATGATGCCTTTCATAGCCACGGGGGGTTTTCAGTAAATGCTCCAGACTGAAGGCAGAGCTCCAATCAAGCTACTCCTCAGTTCAAAATCTTCACAGAGCCTCCCATCTGCCTCCTGACTGTTTCAAACCCCCCAGCCTGGCCCACCAGACGCTCAGCCTCACGGCTCTCCATTCACCTCCCCACCTCCTCCTCGGGTCACCTACACTCATCTTGCTGTGGGGACAGTGGGCTTCTGAGCACCTCTTACCTCAGGGCCTTCGCTCACCTGTCCCTCTGCCTACAATGCCCTCCTCCTCTTTGCTTGTCACAATTCTATCCATCTTTCAAGACCCAACGCAAACGCCATCTCCTCCCTGGAGCATCCCACTGGTGATGTGGCCTCTTGCTACTGAGATGCAACATACTTTGTCCCTCCCGAGTCATTCCCGAAACAACGCTCTGTTTGAAAGGCGTGTTTGTGCTTAAAGCGTTTTGAGGGCAGTTTTTCCCAGACTTTATTCAGTGCACACAGTAAGTGCTCAGTAAATACCGGGCTGACAGAAAGGAATCCAGCACTGCACCTGCACTTGGCCAAGGCAGCAAACTCACCCTCAAGGAACCAGCAGGACACAGGCCTCCCCCCTCCAGTACCTGCAAAACCTGAGCTCAGGGAAGAGCTGCATAAATCGCCCCTCCCTTCCCGCCCCCAGCCAACGGAGCTTGGTCCCTTCTAGAGGTAAGAGAAAGGTGTGACAGCTGAACTTGCTTTGCTCCACCCTCTCTCTTTTCCCCAAAACAGAGCAGAAATTCACCTCTGACAGCATTGCTTTCAAGCTCCCGCGGGACAGGACACATGGCACCGGGCACTCAGCACGCCTCCCCTGCGGTGCAGGCAGAAGCCCTGCTGCCCAGCATGAAGCCCGTGCCCCCGGCTGCCCTGGTCCTCAGCCTGGTCTTCGCCTCCTTCCACTCGGCTTGCTTGGCAGGTGGGACTATGAGCTTGCTTCTTGGCCACGCTGGGAGGGGAAGGGAGGGAGGAGGGGGGAAGGAAGGAGGAGGGTTCCTTGGCTGGGGTTGGTCCTGCACAAAGAGGAAACAGTCCTTTCTCATCTGAAGGACTGGGCAGGGGTGGGGGAGAGGTTTCTTAAATTTACTCCTGTCCTCAGCTAGGACTGGGGCAGCCACCTCTGGTGTCCTCTGCCACAAAGAAAGAAGAAAAAGCGGGGTACAGAGCCTCTCCCAGCAGGGGACCAAATCAGCCTAAAATGGCATCTTTTGGGTGCTGCTTCTCAGTGCCCCGAGCTGCTGGGCATTGCAATGCTCCCTCCCCTCCCCTAAGGCCCGTGACCCTCCCTTGCCCCTCTGCTTTCTTGCAACTTTCCCGAAACCTTAAAGCATGAAAGCTGCCAGGTGCTGTCGAGCAGCCAGTCTGCCCCCCGGACGCGGGGATGTTGGGCTATTGCCTCGTGGGGGCTGCAGGGGTTGAGGCCACGCCGTCAGGCTCTCCCGGGCTGGGCTCTGAGTCTCATGCCGAGGCCTCCCTTACACTCCCGTGCTCCTGACTGTTGCCTCTGGCTTTGATCTTGCTACTCAACTCCAGAGAACACCATCTGCCCTGCTCCCTCCATCTGTCTCTGTCCGTCTGTCTGTCTCTCTCAAAACCATTCCTCACTGCACCCCCACCCCCGGCCAGCCTGTATCTGTCTCTCTCATCCTCACAGTCTCTCCTGCGCAGGTCTGGAAGGCGTGGGCTCTCAAAGCCAGTGAGCCTCAACACTGGTTTGCACAACCTACTAGCTGTGTGACCTTGAGCAAATTATTTACCCTTTCTGTGCCCCAGCCCCAGTTTCCTTATTTATAACATGGGGATAATCATGGTGCTTATATATATATATGGGGTTGTTGTAAAGATGAAATGAGGTGATGGCAGGTAAATACCTTTGAATAAACTAGCTCATGGTAAACAGTTAATGAATGTTACCACGTCCATTTGTCCAGTATAATTCCTCCCCAAATAAGACTGTTTTGCATCTTTCTGTTTACCCTACAGTGCCTTGTATAGGGTAGGGCCTCAAAAAAACTTGACAATCTTAATTGCACTGAATAGTTGGGTCTTCCCAGCAGCCTTTACTTTGGAAGTGACCCCAAGTGGGACCAGTCCCTGGCTGGCCTTGCTTATGAGGGTGATATTTAAATTCTTAGGGGGTGGAGGGAGGCAGAAAAAGATAAAGGGAGGGAAATGGTGACAAAAAGAGACATGACTTGGAGTGGTCGACACACAATAAATATATAGATGATGTATTATAAAATTACATGCCTGAATCCTATGTAATTTTGTTAACCAATGTAACCCCAATAAATTCAATTAAAAAAATGGAAAATATCCTTAGGAATTTATAACTAGGCTAATCAGTTTGAACCATATAAAATTGCTGAATAATTCTTGACCTACAGAAATGGCAATTCCATATGGTTTCACCTAATACTAGCATCCAGGTAACTCGGTTTTTTCCACTCACTTGTTCCTGACGGGGACCACTTCCATTCCAGAGTAGAGGGGAGTTGAAAGTCAGGGCCAAGGAAGTTATTTGGGTTATAAGGGACATTAAAATGTTGAGGAATCAATTTCTCCAAAACAAACAAAGAGCAAGCTCTAAGTCATTTAGCTGTAAATAATTTACAGTACCAATCAGATTGCATCAAGGTAATTACTATACTTTCGGCAGCACACTGGAGTGGCTTGGGGGCAGGTGGCATAACATTAGTCTGAGCAGCAATTTCGTAGCTTTGGCTATTTAAGAAGTTTCCTCCTAACTTGTCCTGCTATGTGACACCAAGCTCCTTTGAAGGACATGCTGACCTAGACTCTGTGGGGCCTTGAGAGTTTCCAAACCAGTTTTGGTTTTTTGCATTCCCAAGCAGCAGACTGAAAAGCCTATAATTTCCAAGAAAGAGTCTTCAAAATTGGTCTCTTGGTCTTGTTCTACCTAGATTAGCACTAACAGAACATGTGTGTGTGTGTTTGCTGACAGAAATTCTGCATATCCGTGCTATACTTCCAATATGGTAGCCACTAGCCACATACAGTGATTGAGCACTTGAAATGTAGCTAATATGATCAAGAAGCTGAAATTTTAATTTATTTTAAGGCATTTAAATAGCCACCAGTGGCTGCCGTACAGGACAGAACAGATGAAGATCATCTCTCCTCTTACTCTGCTATGAGAGGGAGTGTGGGCAATGGGTTTTCTTCCTTGGAGATCCTTATGTTCACCTCCATAACCCTAGCTCACCCCCCGAACTCTGATAGGACTTTAAGAATTCCTGATGAAGCTCCTTTTCTCATTGGGCTCCATGCTTCTTAATCAGACAATTGGAGGTGCTGCAAATTCTGGCAACCTAGACTTGCTCAATTTTTTTCCCTGATAACCATCTTGCTGAGTAATACCAGTATCTCTGTCAGAAATCAAGAATCAAGGTCAGATTTCAGTGTCTATTTGTTCAAGGTTTTGGAGGGAATTGAAAGAGGATTATGAAAAGATACTCCAGATTTTTAAATGACTAGGTTACTATATACTAGAAAAACCCTTTTCTATGCATCTATTTGCACAGAATGCCGCCAATTAGAGGTTTGGAAAGCTGCAGATAGCAGGCCCTGGGTAACTAAAAGACAATGTGAAATGGAAATAAATCATCTCAGAATGAGAATAAAAGGGGACATGTTCATTTTCTAGGGCTGCCATAACAAAGAAGTCCAAGATCAAAGTGTTGGCAGGGCTGGTTTCTCCTGAGGTCTCCCTCCTCAGCTTGTAGACGGCCACCTTCTCAGTATCCTCAGATGGCTTTCCTCTGTGTGCACATCCCTGGCGTTTCCTCCTCTTCATATAAGGACACCAGTCATATTAGATTAGGGCCCACACCCATGACCCCGCTTCACTTTACAGTGACCTCTTTAAAGGCTTTATTTCCAAATGCAGTCATTACTGGGGGGTTAGGACTTCAACATCAGGATTTGGGGGAGACACAATTCAGCCCATAACAGGGGTTAGCTTCGCTGCAGGGAACCTAGACTGAAACTTCTATAATATTTTCACAATACTCACTACTAATCTGAGACTGTTTCCTGTCTTGTCTTCCAGAAGCAAACAGTGCCAACAACTCAACCCTGACCAACCACCACGCAGGCCCTGAGACTCTGGAACAGTGCCCCAGTAAGTTTCTGCCAACTGCTTGAACCCCAGAGCTGGCCCTGGGTCTGGGAGGGAAACACTAGCCTCCTGGCTTTCCGCTCATCAGTGTGGGGGGCTGGGTGCCGTGCCGGGCCGGCCTTCCTGGGTGCTGGTGTGGTTTGTTCACGGCCTCCAGAGCTGTTTGCAGAGTCTGTCCAAAAAGCTATCTTGGCCTTGACCCCCGTCTGGGCTCACAATCTTTGGCACAGATGGCTTTAATGACCCATCCCCACGACAGGAGCCAAAGAGGCCCGGAGTTCAAAGGTTTGCAGAAGTTTGCCAGTGGAAAGGCCACAAAACTCAGCGAGTCCATTTCTGCCCAAGGCGGGAGCTTCATTTTCTTACTCTTTGCATATTTCCCTTCTCCCTCAACCTGAACACTTCCAGCCACAAGGAGGCCGGTACATCATAAAACCATCACTATCACAAGTCTGATTAATCAAAAGGATTGCTTCATTCGAAGTCTGGCTTCCTTTAGCCTGCCCTGGCGAATGGCCAAACGTGTTCACTTCTGGGCACTTACAGAGAACACGGCTTGGGGGTCCTGCAGACACGGGCCTGAGTTCTAGTTCTGCCATCCCGTGACCTTGGGCGAGTAACAGCCTCGGGCTCTTCCTGAGTGATGGGAGTAATAGTTGCACCTATGACTTTGCGAGGAAGAAACACGGTAACGGGTAGAGCATTTAGCCCAGCGCATGGCATGCTGTCTTCAAGGCCAAGTGCTGGACTATGACCGCCGTTCCCTTTGCTGTGACTGTTAGAGAAGGGGGCCGGTGTGACGCTCTCTCTTCCCGTTCCCTTTGCTGTGACTGTTAGAGAAGGGGGCCGGTGTGACGCTCTCTCTTCCCGTTCCCTTTGCTGTGACTGTTAGAGAAGGGGGCCGGTGTGACGCTCTCCCTTCCCGTTCCCTTTGCTGTGACTGTTAGAGAAGGGGGCCGGTGTGACGCTCTCTCTTCCCGCAGACGCGGACCTCTGCCCGCAAGCGTCCCGGTGCTGCCACCTGGGAGTGGATGAGTACGGCTGGGTGGCCGCCGCCGTGGGCTGGAGCCTCTGGTTCCTCACGCTCATCCTGCTCTGCGTGGACAAACTGACCAAGCTGTCTTCAGACGAGCCCAAGGACCCGCAAGCCTGAGACGCAGGATCGCCCCGAGGACGNCTGCGGCCGCAGGCTCGGGCGGCGCCCGCGTGCTGTCTCATGAAGCCCTTTTCCCCTTCGAACTTCAGTCCTTTTAAAAGGGGAGGAGGGAAGGAAGGGGTTCCAGCCGAGGGCTGCCCCCTTCAAGAGGCACGTGGGCCTCTGAGCCCCGATAACCTCCTTTCTCGAGACAGTCTCCATGGGCACTGCTTCCTTCTGGGCTCCCAGGGTGGTGGCTCGAGGACCCTAAGCCTTGGTCTCTCAGCCAACACATCTGAAATTAAACTTACAACCTTCTCACCAAACACAGGTCGTTGTCATCTGTCCCTCACTTGAGTCAAGGGCATCACCCTCACTTCGAAATGCAAGGGTCGCCTCTGACGCCCCCGCTGTGCCCACCCTCACGCCCAGTGCTTCTCCAGCTCTGTTCTGTCCTCAACGGCACCTTCCGCGGCCACCCTGTCCCACCCTCCCTGCCAGCAGCCTGCCCTGGCCCTCGCCACGCCATCCCCGCGTTATTTCGGGGTATTTCCTTTGGTTCTCACGGCCTTCGGGGGCTTTCTCCCCAGCTCGCCACTCCCCACGGGCAGCCGCCACACAGCCTGGCGCTGAGCCTTCGCAGGAGCCCAGCCACCCGACGCCCAGCACAGGGGTGACGGGTGCTGACCGGGACACCCCTCAGCTGGGTGGATGTCCCCCACGTCCCCGCCTCCCGGCCCCGCCTCCAGCACGAGGGCCACTGCTCCGCCTGGAGCCTCCCTGACCCTCTTGGGGACCTGGAGCTGCAGCCGTCACGACCTGCTCACGGTCAGTTTATCCTCCTGGGGCACAGCACGCTCCTCGTGACGTTTGTCCCGTGAAAGAACGAATGAATGAGTCCTTGGCCCAGATGAGCTTACGACCACCATTCTGCATTCAGAGCCTCCATCTCTCTAGAAATAGTTAAAATAACCAAACTTCCAAAGAAGCCAGTTGGTTGGGTTCCTGTTCTCTCAGGGGCCCCCTTAGCCCGAGGATGTCGCCTGCGCTGTGAAGTCCGGCGGTGGGTCTGGTGGGTTCATCAGAAGGAAGAAAGGAGAAAACAGCTCTTTCTTTCTGAAACAAGTTCTGCCCTTGGTTAGGAGCCATGTATTTATATTGGATCGACTCTAAATAATCAAAATACAAAAAAGAAAAGTGAGAGTCCCTGAAATAGGAGGAAACACAGTTGTGCAAAGGCGGCAAATGAAGCAAAGCTGCCCAAGGCCCTTGCAGAAAATCAAAATAAATTTCCCTGACAATGGAACGAAAGGGATCTCCTGGCTCACTCTGAAGGGCCAGATAGTTTTAGAACCTCAGTTGCCAAATCAGTAAAATGGGGAGGATTTTTTTTTTTATTTCTTTTTAAAAATATATCTTTATTGGTTTCAGAGAGAGAAAAGGAGAGGGAGAGAGAGAGAAACATCAATGATGAGAGAGTCATTGATCGGCTGCCTCCTGCACACCCCCGACTGGGGATTAAGCCCGCAACCCGGGCATGTGCCCTGACCGGGAATCGAACCCGGATTGCCTGGATCCTAGGTCAACGCTCAACTGCTGAGCCACGCCCGGCCAGGCTGGAAAGGATTTTTTTATGCCTAAGTGTTAAATAATCTCGTGAACAAAAGTGTCTGCAGGATGCCTGGTATGTTGGGGACAAATACATCAGTCTGTGTGCCACCTTTTCAGGGATTCATGGAGTTTCCACAATACGTGATTGTTTAATTCCTTAGAGACCCAGAGAGTCCATGATGAGGACACTTGGGTTTCATACCTGCAAATATTTTTGAAACAAAACAGTATGACAGAGTGGAAAGAGAACCAGCTCCAAAAAGAAAAGAAAGAAGGGAAATTAAGTCTACTTCTGGCCAATGGGAACAAAAACAAGACACTGCCTTGCTGAGCATCAGTCTTCTAAGTGAAAAAATATAAGATTTGGACCAATCAGTGGCTGCAGACTCCTAGAGCTCCCTGCGCAGAGGGGTGAACACGAGGCCCGTCTCTCTAGCCAGAGCCCGGGTTCTGGTCTCTTTCATGTATCAGGCCCCTGTGGTGAGATTTAATTTGCTGCCTTAAAAAGCTGAGAATCCGAGCACCAGCTGGTGTCTGAGATCTCCTCCAGCTGGGGTCACGTGTAGATTCTTAGACTGCATGGAAGTGAATTGTGTGTAGATGCTCCGCCATGTCACATTAAAGTTTAGGTAATTTGTTAATTGCTTTTCTTTCATCTGCCCAAGAGGAAGGCAGACCCAATCCAAACAATCGTTCTTTTCTTTGAGACAGGAAAGAAAGATGGTTATATAACTTGACAGCTCTGCTTCCCAGATGCTGGATCTCAGATTGGTTCTCAGCATGGAATCTATTCTAGCAAAATAAAGATTTGTCAATAAATTAAAAAACCAAGTATCAACTTCCAGGGATCTAAGAGCTTCCTGGTAGAGAGCAGCAGGGCCTGCCTAATGGTAGATGTAGCTTTCATTTAAAATTTTTGCCTGTAGTAGTCATTGCTGTCCTCAGCACAGTTAGACTGCATGACACAGAGCTCATGATGTTCCAGACATCTCAGTATCAAAATGTCCTATGCAGAAATAGTAAGTGAACACTGAGGTGTGGCATAATTATCTGACTTTAAAAGTCATCACTTTAAAAGCTATTCCTTTTTATGTGCATGATACCCGAGGACAAATAAACTAAATATAGAATTTTATATGTGGAATGAAATGTTGCGCCATACAAAATTAATCAAAAACAAGTCTTAGGCTAGCTTTGGCCTCTTTTCCACCAAAATAAATGTAAGCACATTTTTAAACTTAGAGAAAGACCAGTCTAGAAATGTCTGACAAGGAACAGCTCTGTCTGTCTGAATCCTGGCATCCGTTTTGAGGTCATAGGTGTGATTCCACGGTCTTCGTTGATGAGTGGTAGAGGTGCCCTGTCCTACCTGGTGTTACAACCAGCCTTACCAGGCTCTAGCCCATTCACACTTCTGCCTAGCGAGGCCTTTCTATTACATGTATAAGTGATCAAGTCACTCTTCTACCTAAAGTCCCCCAGTGACTCCTCGCAGTGGGCAGAGTAAAATCCATACTCTTGAGATGACCCATAATATCTTCTATAATCAGATCCCCAACATTTCTCTACTTCACCTCTTGCGTATCCTGCAAGAAGCCCAGCTTTGAATTTTTTCAGTTCCCTAAACATGCCAGGCTGTCTCTATTCTCCATGCTTTCCTCCTTGCTGTTCACATAGCCTGGAACATACCTTCCCAAGAAGCAGGCTTGCAGTGAACCAAGAGGAGATTAAACTTTGGGTCCCCTTACCTGCATGCCCCAGCCACACCCACCATGAGGCCCTCAACCTAACTTTGTAATTCATTTTTTAAAGGAAGGCCCTCTAGCCCAACCAGTTTTGCTCAGTGGTTAGAGTGTGGGCTTTCAGACTAGGGGGTCCCAGGTTCAATTCTAGCCAAGGGCACTTAAAAAAAAAAAAAGGAAGGCCCTCTAAAGGTATGTGTTTTAGGCCCCATAAACCTGGACCTGCCCTTGTTCTTAGGCCCCCCTTCTCTCTCCTGATTGGGTTCATTTGGTTCACTGGGATTGATCTTCCAACTCAGGTTGTCCCTTCCTCCCTGGATGCACACGCACGTGCACATACACACACACACGAACACATGCCCACCTCAATGGCCTATGCTTACCTCCAGGACAGTACTGTGACAAGGACTCTGTCTTTGACCAAAGCTCCCCTGAGCTCACTTCTTGACTAGGCTTCAACTTTGGCCTGTAAAAACTATAGCCTCTCAACACAAATGATTTTGTCCAGCCCCTGCCCACACATTAAAAGACTTAAACACTAACACGGTTTCTAACAACTCAAGGCCATATCTCTAGGATGACCCCAGCGCCCCCTTAAACTGCCCGGGACAGCTCGGGCTGCCAGAAGAATTCACCGTTTGTTGTGACCAATGTCTGACAATTTACCGTTTGTTGTGACCAATGTCTGAAGAATTTACCGTTTGTTGTGACCAATGTCCCTTTCTTAGAGCATTTACTCAAATGTGCTCACAGTTATGAATTGAAATGTCTGTGCCTATCTATCATCTATCTATCTGTCTCCCTATCTATATCTATATCTATAATCTCTTCATCCGACCATCCATCCACCCTACAACTCAGGACCTTTAAAGTTTAAACTGTCATCAGGAAGGACAGAGCCTCTGTCCCCAGTCTCATGGGAGGGCAGATCCTAACTTTGAGGACTGCCAGCTAGCAGACGGGCTGGCCTACTCAGCCTTTACACTGACCGACTCTAATTTCTCACTTCCCTGACTCTACGGAGCCCCCACTCACACCCCAACCCCACTCCTTCACTGTCCTTGTAAAACACCCAGCCTTCTCTACACAAACCAAAGTTTGAGTTCAGCTCCCACTGGACTCCCTTCCCATGGCGACCGTATATTATTGATTAAAATCTGTCGTTATCAGTTTAGTGTCCACTTCATCTTTGACAGCTGAGCTCTTTGGAATATTGTATCTGCCTTTTGTCTTTCTCACTGATCTCTCCGAAGGCAGGGACTGTCTTTAACCTCTGATTCCTTCCACCAGCACCTGGGTCCTGGGTATGCAGCAAAACTCAGTAAATGTTTGATGAATCCGTGAATCAGAGGAGACCCAGACACATGGGCTGTGCAAATAGCCACAGTGGAGCAACCGAGCTCTGAGGACAAAGGAGGCGGCTCCTGGGAAAACTTGGGGTTTCAAGGTTGGAAAAAATGTAAATTATTGTTTCTATAAGTTTATAATTATACATATTTTAAGCCCTTTGTGGAAACGAGTAACTGGCGGGTCTACCCAACAAGTTAATTCTATGATGAGAGACTGAATATACAAATGGACAAGGGCCAGGCCAGATCTAAAAATAGAACCCTGACCCGCAATCTGTAGCAACCAGCCCAGGAAGCCAACCCACCGCCCACAGCA